TGTTGCACCAGCACCAGCGCGATCTACAATGCGGTTTCCAGGGGCCGCAAAACTACCGGAAAGCTCCAGGTCTTCTGACGAAGACCTGGAGCTGCAGTACGACATCTCGCTCGAGTATGAGGAGGCGACTGACGACTAAAAAGATTCTTTAGCATGCTAGACGCTCTCATTCGGCTGAATGGAGCTCTTCATGACATATGCATACTGTCGGACCACGTCGCTTAGTACACTTCTACTTTCTTTTCCTTCTGAGATCGAAGATTGCATCAATCTTATTGGGTGCGTGAACATGACTGTTTGGTCACGTGACCTGATTGATTATTTTACCCATGACCAAAATCGTTTTTGACCTGTAATAAAGGCTATCGCGAGCTTGTTGGTTCACTCAGCAAAAGCTATGCGTTTCCGCTCAATGACGAGGAGCCACGGTAGCTGTAGCATGCGCGCTGCATCCCGAAGGTCACTTGCAGAAAATGTCGTCCTGCTCGAGTCCACCATTTGCAGGGTGTTCGGTTTGTATGTTAAAGTAGGCCGCCGACTTAATGTGTCGGTCTTCTCTCGCCTTCCCCTGCCTAACCACGCTAAATTTCGTCGAATCTAGTCACCGCAGCAACCCCGTCGCAATCTAGCCACCCAAATAACAACAAATCCAGCCTCGCATATCGTGCATTGGCGTTTCATGCGCTATAGGACGTAAAATCTTGATTGGCTTTGCGGAGATAGCCTTCCCAGCGCCGCTTGTAATGAAAGTGTAAGCCTGTACCAACGCCAAAAAAATGAAACTCGTTCAAAGTATTTTCTTAAAATAACAAACTACTTTTCTAAAACAAAATCTTTAATGCACATTCAAAAAAGTGCTTCTTTTAAATTTTAAAATGCTAAAATACTTTTTTCAGAACGTCGTCATTTCAAAAACTGTTTTGAATGGAAAACACCAAAAATTCATTTTTAAAAAGTTTTTTTAATTTTCGGCGAAAACAAAACCCTGAAAATCTGATCATTCTTGGTTCGTTTTAGCAGACCAGTGATATGGAGAAGGGAGGAAGTGCTTGGCACGAGGGGCAGTCCGTGTGCATGCTGTCTCCCACGACATGAAGTGGAGTAAAGCTGAGCCGGCAACACGCCCGCAGTCGTTGTAGAAGTTCCAGATTCTCGGCCGCGTTGTTGGTCGTGGTTTGAGCAGCGTAGGACATGCTGCTCAAAAAACAAACCTCATACTCAGCACTGTCATGGCCAACCTTCAGGACGATAGACCCGCTGCCCCCAGGCCGGTGATTCTCCTTGACCGGGCTTCCGTAAAGCCCGTGCGGGCCGTTACAGGTAAAGTATAATGAAATATTTACTCCGAAAAAAAACCTTCCCTGACAGATTCTGCTCTGCAGGAATCTGCAAGACTGTATTAACATGTAAACTGCTTACTGTTAGCGTATAGGATGCCTCTAACGAGAAATTTATCAGTGATTGCCGGTATTCACTGTCAACTCGTACCCAAACGAGAATCGGAAAGTCTGACTCAATGTTGCTGTGT